ATTATAATTAATTTGCTTAATCAAAGATAACAGAAATCGTAAAAAAAAAAAAAGAAAAAAAAAAAATACAAGATAAAAAATTTACCAAGCTTTATAGAAATTTCTCCAATAGCCCACGTCGCATTATTACACACTGATATAAATTCGGGATTTAAGTTCTGTCCAAGTATTGGCATAAAGTCGGCTGCACAAAATAACAATTTAATGACGTTTCTTTTTTGATTTATCCCAAAATATTATACAAATTATATAATACTTACGTATACAAGGTAGCACATGTTGAAAACATGCTTTTGTAAGGTCTCCTAATAAAGCAAAGCTGCTTTGCCTAACTTCTGGCATTCCATCTTGCATACATTGATACAATAATTGCATTACATTACTATTCATTACTAAACGTTCCATGTGTCCATCCAAGCCTTCTGCTAAACCACTAAGAAGATCCAATGCTACTATCATAAAATCTTTATCGGGTGCTTCAAACTGTTCTGGACTTTGTGTATTTGCTATATGTTGATTTAATGTCTGCTCTACTAAAGACACACATCGCCTATAAAAGATAACAATTTAAATATATAAGTATATGCCTAATAATTAAATATTATTATTTTTAATATAATTTTTACCTATACACAGGTTCACAGTATGGTAAAAATCCAGATCGTAATGCTGTTGCAACTGATGAAAGACATTCCAACAATGGGAAAAGATCTTTATCTTCGTCCTTTAAAACATTCCATTTGTTGATTAAGGGTGGCATAAGAAGATTTATATAATCTGGTTTATTTAGATGATGGCCCACTGAATCGGCTAACGTACCGATTGCGTCATATAAAATTAAAAGATTTTTATGTTGATATTTACCTGGAAAAAAAAGAAAGAAAAAAAAAGAAAGAAAAAGAAAATAACATTCAATTTAATTACTAGCAACTATAAAATTATTGTTAAAGTCCAAGATCTCTATATTTTCAATACTTACCAAAAGCAAAAACAAGTGTCTCAAGAATAAATCCAAGATAAGGGACTAATTCTGTACACGCTTCTTCTTCCAATGTCGCAAATGCAGAACATGCTGCTTCTTGTACACGTTTGTTACCATCTAATACCCTTTTGAGAAGCTCTGTCATTAAAGGTTTTAAGTGCGTATCATGTGGTTGTGCACAAACCCAATGAGCATAACGACTTAAAGTCCAGCAAGTAATAGCACGGACAAGTGCTTTTTTATCGCTGAGACAACTGATTAAGTAAGGTATTAACTCTGATAAATGTGGAATCATTCCACTCATACATCCTGTGAAAAGAAATAAAATATTACATTTATATTCCATAAAAAAGCGCACGTTTATAAAATAAATATAAAATTATTGTACCTTCAGCAATAGCTCCAAGGGCCAATATACCAGATTCTTTAATTTCCCAATCTTGATGAAAGAGAGTTTCTTTTAAAATGGGTACTAAAACTGGCAACAGTTCTTCTCTAAATACATTTGCTAGCATATCTAATGCGGCAGCCGAACATTTTCGTAAATTCCAGTCACTAAGCGTTGAATCGTCATCAGATCCGTCTTCGGCATCTAAATCTTCATCATCTCCTCCACCATTTTCATCTGTATGTTTATTCATGTTGGCATGATGCGAATGATGTGTCTTTGATTTATGAAACCTTGGTCGTATATCTTCTTCTCTATCTGGGATCATTTCATCTTCTTCTACATCTCCTTTGAGAAGTATTATATCAATTTCGGAGTATTTCATACCTCGTACCTGTTAAAAAGAATCATATTTATTTTAATATTCATTCATTCAGATTATTGCAAATAAATTCACTTACCAAAATGGGTACCAATCGAGTTAAATGTGGCGCAAGAGCTTCTTTACAAATTTGTTGTTCTGCCAAAGAGAGCCAAAATTCACAAGCTTCTAATGCAACTCCTTCATCTTGATCTTGAGTTCTCATTAACATGTACTCTATTATGTTATGCATATTTGGAATCAATCTATCCATTCGAACTTCAAGTAACATCACGAGAGCCCTTTACAGGAATTAAATTGATAATGCTAATTTCTAATTTTTTTTTTTCCAAAAAAAAAAAAAAAAAAAAAAAAAAAAAATATGTAAAAATTTATTCTTGTTATACTATTTTTATACCTGCACACATTTTTTCTCACATCAGGATCATCATCAGTAGCTAAATGGAAGAGATTTTCCAGAAAACTATCTATATGAATCATAAGCACCTGTGTACGAGTTATAATGAATTGATTAACGCAAGCTATTGCGTGTGATCTAATTTTTGGACTTGTATGTCTGAAAAATTGCAAGAATTTTGGAATCAAAACATTCAAAGGCCGATTAAGTGCATCGGAATCTAATATCTCTGCGGAGTCTTCACAAATCTTCTGTAGAGCACCGAATGCTCCTTCACAAACATTATAATCTTGCGAATCCAACATTTGACAAAGAGCAGGTAATAATTCTGGCCAAGTTGTTAATTCACCTATTTTTTTTTTTAAACATAATTTGCTTTAAATAATTCTAAAACCTTACAAAATAAAATTTAATAACAATGTAAATAACAATATCCTCACCTTTGGATGCAACGGTAGTTATTAAAATACCAACAGTAGCACGAATTAAAGCCGAAGGATCTCCAATAGCAGACAAACATTCTTGCTTTATAAAATTTGTAACTTCTGGTAAAAATTTATGAAAATGTGCCTTCACATTGTTTTTCAATATTAATCCACTCAGAGATCTTGTTGGTTCATCTTAATAACAAAAAAAAAAAAAAAAAAAAAAAAAAAAAAAGAAAAAAAGGAGAGAAGAAAAGAAAAAAAAACGTCATTAATTATTTTTCCATCTATGTTTGGTTAACTACAAATTAATCAATTATATTGACAAAACTTTCTTACCTTCGGATGTAAGTTTAGTTAAGATGAAAATTAAATAATTGTTAAAATCTGGAAATTTGTTTAGCTCTTCCAATTTCTAAGCCAATTATTAAGGAAAACAAGTTTTGTTTTCTTGACATTATCAAATTCAGAATTATATGATGTGTATATGTACGCGTGTATATATATATATATACACATAAATGTATACATACATACATATACATATATATATACATAATATATTGATAAAGTATAAGAATCGTTATTTATAAACTATTATTATTATATCATCACGATATATAAAATAAATCACACATTGGCTTCATTTAAACAAAATAAAAGGAACGTTATTTCTGGAGAAAACTTCAAAGATATATTTTTTGTTTCCATTTTAACGAATCGAGACATTTAAAAAAGAAAAAAAAAAAAAGAAAAAAAAAGAAAAAAAAAAGAAAAATAAAATAAAATAAAATAAAATAAAACAAAAGGATATATATATATATACATAAAATTAATGGAATAAATAAATAATATATTTAAGAAATATCGATGAAATTGCGAAAAACATAACAGGAAATTGAAATCATATAGTGTGTCGAGAGACATTTCGTGTAACATATTTCTTGGCGGTTGAAGCTCACGTGTTACAACATTATTCGAGAAAAGACATGAACAAAACGATCGACGCGCTCGGAGCATCAAATTCTAAGCTGATCGATGGGCAAAAATAAAGTCAAGAATAAAGATGACGTCTTTGTTTTGATAGGATCATTAAAGGGAATTGGATTAATTTCGATGAAATGTCTCTGAATCGAACGGGTTACGGATAGAAAAAAAGGTAGACCATGACAGGCTGCGCAAAAGCGCGCCGATCGCATACATACATACATACAACGGCAAAGGAATAGAGCCAAGAACTCGCGATTGTAATGGGAGGGGTGGGAGGAAAGTAGAAACGAGAAGGATCCGATTGAAAATTTCACACAATAATATCATTATCTCGTTCTATCGATGATATACGATACCAACCGATCGAAAAACATTGACGATAATACAATCCCATAAAAATCGTCAAATCTCCGTCGCTTCTCTTTCGTCACCATCGGCGTCCACTGTCTTACGACCGGGAAAAGGCACAAACCGTTCCGTATTTTTGAAACTTCAACGAACTAATTTGGCGTTTCTTCGGCGAAAAAATATGACGATAAGAAAAAAAAGGATACTTGCTGTACGGCTCTCTGTGTTGCCGTATCCGGGCTTTGTGATTCCTTAAGAAGCGTAAGGATTTGTCGTAGTCCTTCTTCTTGCGGTTGCCACGCCATTTTCATCGTGTTTTTCACCAGCACCACCGAATGCAGCCAGCCTTCTCTGACCTCGCAGATAAACGGAAGCTCCCTACGGTTACCCCCACCACCATGCCACGAGAGCATAGCTTGTAGCGCCGGTAGCTTTTCCCGTATTGGCGATTGCGCGTGGAGAAGGAGGACCTGCTCGATCGCCTCGTGGACCAATGTTCCACCATCGATTAATCTTCTGCATTAATTAGATCATCGTTCCACATCTTCGAGCGTCGATATTCGAACGTACGCCGATTCCTTGGAATAGACAATTGAACGTTTTCATATTCGCTCTCTTTGATCAGTTAGCGGACCGCTACTTCCGGCGACGACGACGCCGCCTATCGATCGACCCTATGTCCACCGTTCCTTCGTCCATTTCCTTCGTTTTTTCATTTTCAAAATCAATATTTTTCTTTCATTTTTTTACCTTTGTATCTCTCTATCCATTGATTCATTACCATTTACCCAAGAGAATATTTAAACAAATTTTGACCTATTGTTCCTTTTTTTTTCTTTTTCTTTTTTTTTCCATCATAAATTGGAATGAAATATGTTTAAATGAAAAAAATTTTTTTAAACATAGGTAAATGTTAAAAAGAAAAAAACAATACTGACTCACAAGAAGTAAAGTTTTTTAAAATAATAATAATAATAATAATAATAATAATAATAATAATAATAATAATAATAATAATAATTGATATTGAATAAATTCAAATTAAATATTAAATGAAAATAATATTTACTGAATTATAACAGAAAATATTTTGTTCTTATGCCTAGCAAACTTATATAGAGCAAAGCCTTTATTAAATCATAATATATACTTGATTTATATAATTCCTTCTAAGAATGTAGACTGAATATAAAATGTAAATGTTATTAGCAATATGTATAGTATGACTCATGAACATCATGTTCTTGCACGAGGTCTCCAAATTTCTATCCCTTCGGTACCAGATACAGCAAGGACATCATTCAAATAATCTATCTGTAAAATATAATGAAACTAAATTACATTATATGCCTACATACGCACTTCTATATACATACACTAGCTATCTCTCCATAGCCACAAGTTAGAGTGGTAAGATTTTGTGGTGGATCAGTTGGACTTGAAATTCTCACAGTTTTGTCCATGGAACTTGTAATTACACAACCAGGAGTAAAATGAACACCGGTTATTCCTTTCTTATGTTCAGTATCGTAACATTTTATAGGCTCAAACTCTCTCTTTAAATCTAACACATGTAATTTTGCGCTACTATCGCCAACATATACCAAATCTTTTTGCATACACACACTCATAGGGAATGATTCTTTTGAGATCTAAAACAGATCACTGTATGCATCTGTCGAAGGTCGTACAACGTACATATAAAAGGAATTAAGAAGAGAAATATTACTGTGATTGTTTTCATAATTTTTCCAGCTCTTTGATCCCATATTGAGACTGTTTTATCCTCACTGGCAGATAAAATATAATTTGAACTCATTGCAAGACGAATAACGGCTCTCTGATGTGGTTGATATCTTGCTATAGGACTATATCCAGACCTTGAATCAAACACCAATACTGTTTTGCAGAATGAACCAGTAGCAAAGAGAGCTAATTCCGGGCATGAAGCTATGCAAAGCAGAGCACCTGTAACGATCCTACAGAAAATGAAAAATTTTTGCTTAAGTATCTAATAGATTAGAAATAAAATATATGTTTTTCACGATCCCGATTGACAGAGCGAGCGAGAGCATCCCAATGTTTTAAATGCATGTTTTATTTCTTTTGGGACTTTGTAATTAAAGAAATATATTATATAGAGATTGCAGAAAAATTTTCCATAATACCAATCATTGGAATATCTTATCATACAGTTATTTTATGAAAAAGAATCTCATCCCTTCCTCGCTCAGCCTTTCCATTATAAGAGCAATAGAAATGACCAGCTTGGTTGTCATATACATCTTATAAGTTTTGAAGTGGACAAGGCCAGTAGGAGTGAGAGTCCAAGCCTTGACATTTTGATCCCAACTACAGCTATAGACCATGTCATCTATTGCTGTTAAATCCCATATCCATCCATTATGAGCAAAATCTATACAAGTACGTTGCACATGATAATTATCTTCAATGGGAAGGCTACAACATACTAAAGATCGATCTCTTGCTCCGGATATACAAATTCTTCCATCCTTTGTACAAAGAAATTATATAATTACTTATTATTTATAATATTATATATGTAATTGTATAAAAAAAAAAAATATAGCTTCATTTATTACTAACGTGCATTAACAGCAGTCCATCTATAGTACTGTATTGTACATTGGTAAGAGATAATTTCTCCACTGAATTTTTGTTTTTCCATAATGAAGTTTGTTTCTCAATCGCTACACACGATAACTTCCAAAACAATTCATCGTCTTCAGCTGAAATTACATATATCACTTTGACAAACAGTAATATAAACTTTTAAGGATTTGGTACATATTATTAATCTGTAAACAAAATCGAATAGAGAATAAACATAGAATATTTATAGTGCAATATTCTTGTAAGAATAATTCAATGTACAAAGATACAAAGTTATTGGTTAATTAGAATTACATAAAAAAAAAAAAAAAAAAAGAAATAAGAAAAAAGAAAAAAAAAACGATTTACAAGAATATTAGAAGCAACCAGTTAATAAAAGTTTTAATAAATACAGATTTGTTATATATAAGCATAATGTAAATTATTTTGTTTTTTTAATGATCTTTATCTTATTACTTATATTAAAAGCTGCAATAGTTGACACTGTTAATCTTTTTATTTTATAAAGTAACAGATGGTGTTTTATTTATTTACAGAATGATTTTGGTCGTGCAAGGCACAAGGTGCTATCAATTTGAGCTAACCAGGAGGCAAAATCGGATAACCAGTATTTGGAAATATTTGGCTAATTCTCATTTTCCAGAATGAATTATCGTTCAGTATTTGATAAAACTGTTTACAAACTAAACTCAAATTGTGCATCAATGTTTCCGCATCTAGGAATGAGCAGACGTGTAGAAATATCTAAAAAACAAACAACAAAAAAAAGTAGGTATAAATAAAAGTTAATAACGAAACATACGCATACACTTATATATTTATCGTAATATTTGTCAAACCTCTATTGGAAGATGCAGTAATGAAATGGACTGTTCTTTGTCAGATTGATCATCTTTCTGTTCAAGGCTTGCTTCTTCATCGCACATTTTAACGTAGAATGTCTAAGTCAATCGTTATTTTAAACAAATCTTATGCGAACATATTCAATATTTTATATATATATGTATATATATTTATACAAAGTATTTTCGAATAAAAGAGATCATCAAAAAAATCGTAGATATTTCTAACACCCGTAGTATTGTTATGCTTATATTCTTTATACACCTCTTCACCTTCTATAGATGCGCATGACTCATTCAATCATAGCATAACACTTTCTTCAGAGTTTGTGAAACTCAAAGCAGGGCCGACAACTTACAATATTAAAAAGATTCACTTTAAGAATCGAACATAATTTTTATTTCTAATCTTAAAAATATTTATTATTCCAGTATTAATTAATGAAAAAATAATAAAAGTTTATTTTCATATAGAATTAACTATCTTTTTTTTTTTTATTAATTATATACGTATAAGGTTAGATGTTATCATTGAATTCTTTTTTATTTAAAAAAAAAAAAAAAAAAAAAAAAAAAAAAAAAAAAAAAAAAAAAAAAAAAAAAAAAAAAAACAACCACATAGACATGAGCCAATTTATTAATAAAAATAATTAAAATCGTAACAAAGTTGTCAGAAAATTATATTTTAAGTGTACAATATTATAAATCTAATAACATGATATAAAAATTCCCTTAATTTTTGTAAACATCACCTTAAACATTTCACATATATGCTTAATCATTAACAATTAAATATATCAAATGTAAACGACATTAATTTCATGGTGTTTATGACTTTATGTGTTTATATCTGTTGAATAAAATATTTGTGTGTGTTTGCCTAGATGATATGTAAAATAACAAGTTAATTTAAACGTACTAAATATTGAATTATTTGAACTTGTTGATTACATTTGAACTCTGCACATGTAAACTCTGTTATTATATATACGTCATGACTTTTTTTCTTTCCTTTTTTTTTTGTAATACATTTATAATATGTTTATTCAATATTTTTTTTATCATACATTTTAATTAATTTAATTTTTTTATTGTCCTTATTTCTTTGAAACGTCTATTATAATAATGATAAATAATTTGTAAACTTATACAGATGGAAAGTTTGTATATATATATATATATATTTTTTTTTTCTTTATGTATGGAAAAGATCTGTGAAATTGATTAAAGTAAATGAAATAATTGCTCCACTTGCAGAACCTCCCTGCATAATAATGCCAACATAAAAAAGAATATTTTCTTTTTGTACCTGTCTAAATATTGAAATAATAATAAGTTTCACATAAGAAATTAATCCTATAAGAATAGTCCATGATATTAATATAATTATTACACCAATTTTAGATTCTTGGAGGGGTACAAAAGGAGACATCAGTGCTACATATGTAACATAACTACAAAGTATTAATATTATTGTTGATAAAGAATGAATAATATTTAAATTTGATGGTATAATCCAAAATGTTATAAAACATGCAATTGGATTTGCAAATTGTGATAAAGTAACAGACAATTGATATGTTATATTTCCATATGGTAAAGAAGAATATGATTGTATGCTTGGCAAAAATCCATTACCAAAGAAACAAAGGAAGCTCATTAAAATAAGTAGGTACAATTTTTTATAAATAGACATTTCGTAATCTACTTTAAGACATTTTGCATTTTTGCTTTCGTCATTTGATAAAGAATGTTTAATTGTCTGATCATTTTCTAAACATAAATTATTGGAAGCAAAAATAGGTTTATCTTTAATATTATAATGTGTAACTTGTATTTTATCCTGACTATTTTTATTCTCTTGATAATTTTGTTTGATATCATGAAATGAAAAATACTGTAATATGATGAATGCAATTAGAGATAGGAATAGAACAAGAAAGATAAATAGAAAATAATATAATGGAGAAAATCTAAAATTAGAAATTATTTCTTTTGATGTAATGTTACTATTTGTGACACATTCTGTATTTTCTCCAATATCTTGCATTAATGAAACTAAACTTGGTAGCACACCGCTTAATCCTTCACCAATAAAATATGACGTCATATATGTTTTTTTAAAATTGCGAAGATAAGGCATAAATAGCACAGAACTGAAGCACCCAACAAGTGCCGTAAAAAATGTTAAAACAAATAATGCTAAACTATATTCTGAATTTGATATAACAACAGTTCTGTTATAAAAAAATATTAAAAGTGCCATAGAAATATTTCCTATAATAAGAATTCCTAATATAGATAAAAATTCATTTATTTTAATTTGCATTTGTTGTAAAAATGTATATATTATTGGTCCCACATTAGCCATTTGTATTGCTATTACTATATAAGTTGGTAAAGCTGAACCTTCAGGAGAACAATGAATGAGTATTGGTAATTGTACAAAGATTCCATTAACACCTATCCAAGCAGATATACCAAACAGAACGATGAGTAAATGCATATAGCTGGATCTGTTTTTTAAATATTCTTTGATGTTAATCGTTGTCATTTTGATGAATTTCTAGTAATATGTAGATATCTTGGACCAATTTGGATGCAAGTTAGCCTCTGTTTGCGGCTAATTATGCCTATGCAAGTTAAATTATAAATAATATATCAATAAATAAAGATCTATAATTAATATTGCAAAACAATTTAATATATAAAAGCACATGTATCCGTTTTTCGAAATATTACCGTGATGTTTATAATTTCTTAATTTGCGTATTTAATATATATGAAAAAATATTTATATAAGTGGAATAGATAAAAGTCACTATTCAAAATATATGTTCAAAATATATGATAAAATAATTACTTACTGAATTTCACCTGATTGATCTTATGCAGACAAATAAAATGTTAAAGTGAGTTCATTTTCATAATTTTATCAACTTAATCATTCAGATTTGTCAGATAAAATCAGTTTTATCTGACAGATATACGAGTCATAGCAAGAATTTGAATATGATAATGTTATCCCTAAATCAATATTAATTTTACTAGAGATATACTATAGAAAATCTTTAAATACTTTGTAGATAATTTCATATATTGTATCTTATGTAGATAACGTACAAGGCCAGTTGTACACATCTACTAAAATTAAAAAAATGTATACATATGAATATATCATTTATTTATTTTAAATAACTATCGCTGTGTGATCTGAATTATGTCTATTTACTTAACCGACTTGACAGGCATTCATTGTCATTTTCTTTTCTAATTTTGACAGACTGTAAGTAGTTTTAATAGTTAATTAAGTACTACTATTAGAAACATCACATAAAACGTGAGAACTATTTCTTCATATTATTTAAAGAAAAATCAATGTATATTATCACATGGAGAGTACGAATGAAAGATTTTCATATGATTAACTAACACAAATGTTATTATTGCACCTATTAAAGAACCAATTTGTGTAGCAACACCGGTATAATATAAACCTCTACCTGGGTCTGGTCTGAATAAAGTGGTAATACCCATTTTTATAAATCCTATTAAACCATTAACTAATATCCATGAAACTACAACTAACATTTCACCCATCCATGTATGCTGTAAAGGTGGATTAGGTGATTTTATAGCTAAAAATAAAACAAAACAAGATAAAATAATAACTAGTCCCATAAGTCCGCTAAGAAGGCTAATTTTTGGAGATTTTATAATAAAACCTAAACACATTGCTAATGGACCAGCCATTGAAGATAATGTTATTGTTAAATGATAACCTACATTTCCATAAGGTAAACAAGAATAAGATTGAATACTAGGAAGAGTACCATGACCAAGAAAACAAACAAGTGCCATCATAGATAACAAATAATAATATGTACGTTTGGACATTGTCCAGCCTGAATTTGTTTTATAACTTGGTGGAGCTTTGGTATCTGTTGGTAGTGTTTCCATGCTCGATGGAAGTTTAACCCTTTCGCCAATGGCGACTGGCAATTTGTTTAATCCAAGAAAAGAAAAAAAACTCAAAAATAATAACGTACAGATGAAAATAAAAAATGTCTGTGTAGAAAACCTAGGATCTGGATAGAAAGGTTCAAACTTTAAATCAGATGATCCTGCTTTAGTAACATTTTTACATCCAGGATTTCCACCAACACCCTGAATCAATGCCACAATACTAGGTATAAAGCCACTAAGACCTTCTCCTACAAGATAGGAAACCAGATAAATTTCACGGTAATTCCTCATGTAAGGCATGAAAAGAACAGAACTAGTACATCCAACGATAGCTGTTACAAACATCAGAGACAGAAGGCTCGTTGAATGCATATTTCCAAATATTACTGATGTTTTATTATAGAGGAATGCTAAAATAAAAGTAGATAGTACAGCTGCAATTAGCATTCCATATATGATTAGTTTATCATACGCCCATGCAGTATATCTGAAATGGAATCATTAGCATTCATCAAATAAAAAATATCATTTTAATATAATACTTATATAATTTTATGAATACTTACTTAATATATAGCGTGTATAGAATTGGTCCTAAGTTAGCAAATTGTACTAGCATTACCATATGGGCTGGTAAATTCCATCCTTCTGGCGCATTATTTATTAAAAGGGGTAATTGCACGTAAATACCATTTATACCGATCCATGCACCAATACCAAAAAATAGGACAAGAATGTCAACCAATATTCTTCTATTACTTAATTTTTTGGTTAACATTTTGTAACTTCTTAAAAAGTAAAATTAAAATTTATTTAAAATCTCATCACCGTTTCAATCAAGCAATATCATCTTTTTCTTTTTAATAATTAACAACTTGTAACAACTCACTTATATTTCGTACAATGTACAAACGATTCTACGAATTTTTAATAAAATATATAATTCGTCAATGTCGTGTATTACGTTCTTAACGATTTAAATAATTTTTCAATTTAATTACTGATATCCCTTTTATAATATCAAATTATAAAATTGAATTTTCAGAATAATCTTTCGTTCTTGGGAAAATATTGTGGAGTACATGCGAATAATTCATTGACAATACGTTTGCGAATAAAATACATATCACTTAATATAATTTAATACAAATAAATATTTTTGATTTCAAACAATACGTTTTACGAATTCTTCGGCATTCTATATAAACATTATAAGTCTCCGAACGAGATAGGAAAATTTTTCTTTAATGAGAATTTAATTCAAATTTATGATAACCTCAATCTCATTCACTTCTCACCATAAAGTCTGTAAGACGACTGCCACGAGTGATTACTC